CCAATTGATCGATTTTTGCGACAGATCAATGAAGAAATAAATTGCTGCAATTTGGGAACAAATTGTTCACCATGATCTTCAATGTAACGATATTTTATATGTTTTAAAGACTGAATTGCTCTCTCTGCAAATACAGCTTTTGTTTCACTCATTGTTGAGTAAACTTCAATGTCTTTCTACTTGCACAATTTTGTAAAAGTTCCACTATATTCTGTTCCCTTATCAACCTAAAGTTTTTCAGGAGTGTTTTTTCGAGAAATTGTTTTTCTGAAAGCTTGTGAAGTGTCTTTGGCATACTCTGTTTTCCTTGTTTGCACTCTGAAAAATCTCGAAATAATATCTACAGCAAATAATAAATACTTCACTCCATTGTTTTGACTAGCTAACTTGTCTAGAAAAGCCAAGTTCAAACACCAGATTTCATTGATATATTTAGAAAAAGCTTGAAGTCTTCGGAAACGCGTGATTATTGGACCAAATTTTGTATACGATATCTTGGTTTGTAAAAATTTTCTTCTTTCTTTTGATAAACCACTCGCTTTACTCAAGTTTTGAATAGAACCGTACGCAGCTCTGCTGCTAGAATACACTCTGTTTAGTCTTATCTTTTCAGATTTTGAAAGGGATTCAAGTTCCTCTGTTTTTTGCCTTGGCATTCTTGTTAATAACAAGGTTAGGAGGAAGTTGAGTTGCTTCAAAAAAAGTAAAGTAAATGTCTGGAAAATCGGTGCTTTTTGCTTTAGTGCACACACAAGGTCTACAATAGATTCTTTTGTATCTCGATTGTCTAATCAACTTTTGTCTGAATGGCTGAATTCAAATCAAGGAATTACATCTAGGATTCAAAATTGAATCAAATAGAAGCTTGTTATTTCTCGTTTTCAGCCTCGCATTTACAGCACTGCAAACAGAATCAAAATTTTTTGGTACAATCTCCTCTTTTTATTGCTTTTGCTCCAATTTTTGTTTTTTTTTGGAAGCGTACTTTGTGATTGATAAACTGAGTACAGAATTGAAACAAACTGTTCCATACTATGTCAATCGTTTAATGACAAAAAGGAAGATGATAAATATGAATTGTAACCCTTTAGTTGAATTAAAATAATTCTTCTTTTGTGTAGAGGCGTTTTTTTGTGTTAGTTCTGAAATTTTTGGATATATTCTACATCTTCTTTCAAAATTCTCGAAGCTCTCCTCTTAATAGGTGATATAAACACTCGCTCAGAAACTGAATGAAATCTTTTGGACAATTGAGAATGAATTGTTTTCGAAGCCTTAGGGAAAATTTTTGAAATATTGGGAGAATAGAGACGTATTGTGTTTTCATTGTCCAACAATTTTGTCTCTTTTCCAGCTGGTTACTAAAATTTTGTTGGACCTGAACCGCTATTAGAGCAATATCTATGTGAATCAACTGTTTTTGGGGTTAAATCAATAAGTAAATAAACATAAGGAACAGATGTTGCATCTGGATACCACTCTTTTCAATTGAGATCTCTAATCGTCTCTGTTCTCCCAATATCCTAGACCTAATTATTGACTTAAAGTATTAATTTGTAAAACATCCCTCGGTGACTTCAGCAAAACTATCTGTACTTTGTAACTCTACATCTCTTTCTAATTCGTTTTGATGAAAAAAATTGTGTTTGATCTATATTGTATTCAGTCCCCTGTGTCTCCCAGCAGTGTTGACTTTTACAAAATGATTGGAGTTTGAAATTTCTTCACAAGAATCATCAAATATAAGCAGATACTTAGTTCCGTTATTGAGAAGATTTTCAATCAAATCAAAATCTATTCCTTGGATAAATTTAAGGATTTTTCTGAAAGCTTGTGAAGTTTTTTTTCGAGAAATTGTTTTTCTGAAAGCTTGTGAAGTGTCTTTAACATACTCTGTTTTCCTTAATTGCACTCTGAAAAATCTCGAAATAATATCTACAGCAAATAATAAATACTTCACTCCATTGTTTTGACTAGCTAACTTGTCTAGAAAAGCCAAGTTCAAACACCAGATTTCATTGATATATTTAGAAAAAGCTTGAAGTCTTCGGAAACGCGTGATTACTGGACCAAATTTTGTATACGATATCTTGGTTTGTAAAAATTTTCTTCTTTCTTTTGATAAACCACTCGCTTTACTCAAGTTTTGAATAGAACCGTACGCAGCTCTGCTGCTAGAATACACTCTGTTCAGTCTTATCTTTTCAGATTTTGAAAGGGATTCAAGTTCAAGTTCCTCTGTCTTTTGCCTTGGCATTCTTGTTAATAACAAGGTTTGGAGGAAGTTGAGTTGCTTCCAAAAAAATAAAGTAAATATCTGGAAAATCGGTGCTTTTTGCTTTAGTGCACACACAAGGTCTACAATAGATTCTTTTGTATCTCGATTGTCTAATTAACTTTTGTCTGAATGGCTGAATTCAAATCAAGGAATTACATCTAGGATTCAAAATTGAATCAAATAGAAGCTTGTTATTTCTCGTTTTCAGCCTCGCATTTACAGCACTGCAAACAGAATCAAAATTTTTTGGTACAATCTCCTCTTTTTATTGCTTTTGCTCCAATTTTTGTTTTTTTTTGGAAGCGTACTTTGTTATTGATAAACTGAGTACAGAATTGAAACAAACTGTTCCATACTATGTCAATCGTTTAATGACAAAAAAGAAGATGATAAATATGAATTGTAACCCTTTAGTTGAACTAAAATAATTCTTCTTTTGTGTAGAGGCGTTTTTTTGTGTTAGTTCTGAAATTTTTGGATATATTCTACATCTTCTTTCAAAATTCTCGAAGCTCTCCTCTTAATAGGTGATATAAACACTCGCTCAGAAACTGAATGAAAGCTTTTGGACAATTGAGAATTAATTTTTTTCGAAGCCTTAGGGAAACTTTTTGAAATATTGGGAGAATAGAGACGTATTGTGTTTTCATCGTCCAAAATTTTTGTCTCTTTTCCAGCTGGTTAATAAAATTTTGTTGGAACTAAACCACTATTAGAGCAATACCTATGTGAATCAACTGTTTTTGGGGTTAAATCAATAAGTAAATAAACATAAGGAACAGATGTTGCATCTTGATACCACTCTTTTCAATTGAGATCTCTAATCGTCTCTGTTCTCCCAATATCCTAGACCTAATTATTGACTTAAAGTTTTGATTTGCAAAACATCCCTCGGTGACTTGAGCAAAACTATCTGTACTTTGTAACTCTACATCTCTTTCTAATTTGCTTCGATGAAATAAAATGTGTTTGATCTATTTTGTATTCAGTCCCTTGTGTCTCCCAGCAGTGTTGATTTTTACAAATTGATTGGAGTTTGAAATTTCTTCACAAGAATCATCAAATATAAGCAGATACTTAGTTCCGTTATTGAGACGATTTTCTATCATGTCAAAATCTATTCCATGGATAAATTTAAGGATTTTTCTTTGCATTTGACTATAAAGAGGTTGATAATAATGATAAAAGTAAAAAAAGTTTTCAAATGCTGGTTGAAAAGTACCGATTTTCAACCAATCAAAATTAAGATGAGATTTTTGCAGATCCACTTGGTCCAACTAGGGAAATAAATATTCGTTCTTTGGAAGATATATTTTTATCCATAGCTTTGAGGAAGGTAGAATGTAGTCGACTGTTCTTGATAAGATAGCTACCCAAACGGTTGTTTCTTCACTTGTTGTGGATAACATAATTAGAACGATTGCACATACTAGCATCAAAACTATAACAAAAAAGTTGCACTAAAAACAACGTAAGAGATGTACGTCCAAACAATTTCCATGATTTTCGTTCAAAATTTTTTTCATCAAAAACAAATTTTCTTAAATTTATGGGCTTGTCACAATGATTGACCATCTTAACTCTAAAAAGAAAAAGTTGACAATGAAATTCAATTACAGTTTGAAAAAGGTAGTACATTAAGATTATTAGGATTTACAATTTGTTAAAAAAAAACATCGAGTCTATGTTCCGTATGCAAATTCTCTCCTTTCTGCACAGTGAAGAGTTTTTGCGTGACAAAAACACCCCCAAGCCAAAGCAGCGAACACCTACTAGATAACTGAAGTAAGCGAAGACACAACGCCATACCACCCTTCTATTATCGAACAAACAGCCGTCAAGACAGTACGGAAATCAACCCTGAAAATGCTCGAAAGCCACAGTCCCTCAGGTCTAGATGCGTGCGAATGTTAAAGATATTAACTCACTTAAACCAGACATCCATTGAACATTAAAATACCCACTAGGAATTCTCGATCTGGAAGACAGCAGCTTGTTACTTTTATATTAGCGTGAACTGGAGGAGCAGCACCATGCTCTAGAAAAACCGACCAGAAACTAGCCGAGAAATTAAGCGAAAAACGGAACGAATCATACTCCGACACAATAAACTTTTTAAAAACCTAAATAAGATTTGCACTTCTGAGGAGTGCAATCCTCTGCCTCATGGGTTGCAAGAAACTTAAAAATACATACATGACATTTCTTTCAAGGCATTAATCAAGTGGGTGGATTTTAATTGAGAATTCTCTGGATGCTTTAAAATCGACTTGATTTATTCATTAAAGTTTGCCGATGTTTTAAATAGCGTTGGTATGGCCCAATCCAACCTGTGCACGGACCGTCGCATGACGGAAGGGCCCATTTTTTTGTCTTGGTCCAAAAAATAACACTGCCTATAAATGTTATATATCAAATTACAGGAATTTTAAGTTTTTTCTCATGTAGACATCATCGTAGCCCTATTCTTTGATACTGATACTTGTCGGTGACTGCTGGCGTTTTGAACGAATTGATCTGACATAATACTAATAGTTTAACGAGTATTGCCCGTCAATTTTTTTTATTTATTAGAATTTTTTATTTTCCATATCTAGAAAAATCCAAGGATTTTGACTGGAATACATGATGAAGGGACTCATGGCTGTAACCTCGGTTACTATGATACTTTTGACCTTCTGATTACCTAAAAAAAAAGAATATGAGTCCTTTTTTCTAGGTTGATAATGTCGGGGAGTATCTCCAGAACTCCTTCAAAACTTTCAGAAATGTTTTTCTCATTTGCTGATACAAGCTTTGAAAAAGTTTATGCGAAACTCCAGAAAGATATAAAGCTTGTCGAAAGTCTGAGTAATGAATCGGAGTCTGCTTGTAATTTCCAACATCGCTCACCAATCAAGCAAAGATTTAAGTTCACGCCATTTACTTATGCTAGTGGCGAAAGGTTAATATACGTGAATCCCAATGAGAAAACAATGCGAGTTGGCTCAGTTGAAATCAATGATAATGACATATCCAGAGAAGATGCTCCTGCTCAAACAGGAACTGTGAGTATTCTTATTTTGTATGCAATAATACAGGCGACCTTTCAATGACATGGAATGACTTAAAGCAATACTATTTTATTAATCGAGATCAGGTTTATTGCAATCGGGTGTTAGCCTTTTTCCCCGTGAACAACTTCGTGCAAAACTACGGCGAAATGGCTGACGTAGATCTCACCCACTTAAGCAAGGCCAAATGTTGGTAAGGAGGAAGTAGGAGGGTGAATAGAAAAATGATTTTTCTCGGCATGTTTGTTCTGAAATTAATTTCATTCGAGACGAATTGTGATTTTCATGGTATTTGTTTAAGTTTATTTTAACTTCTGGCTCATTTTTTGTCTAAGTGGATATGCTCTGTTTGTGATATATCACCAGGTTTTATCAAATGGGATGTGTTCCTAGCATGGGCTGGTCGGAATGCTTTGTTTGCTATATAACACCAAGTTTTGTCAAATCGGGCGTCTTCCTTGCATTGCAGGTCAATGTGTGCATGGAAACTCTATGAAATAAAACTTTGTGACCAGCCTTTTTAGATGATATTTTTTGTTCATTTTTTGAACAATAGATTTAACTATCATGAGTGAAGTCTTCAACAAAATACAAATGACAAGCAAATAATTTAGCACTGGGGAGGATAGCTAAAAGGCATATGTAATGCCCACTAATAGACTACCCTTAAACACAAATACAGTGAACTAAATTATCACACATAAAAAAAATTGAACAAAATAATTTCTTCAATGAAAATCTATTTGTCGAACATAGCCTTTTTAAAAAGCAAGTCAAAGCTATTGATACTGCAAGGCTATAAAACACATATGAAACCTGGATACTAACAGACGACGCAAAGAAAAACGAAAGGAAAAATCCATGATTTTCAAGCATTTTCAAACCAGCGGTATTTGAAGCTCTTAGATCCGTAGGTTGGCACAGTTAAGACCGACGCGTGAATTGATTCAACGAAATGAAGTAAAAAAAATAGATTAATTCATCTCAGGATTGTAAATCTTGCAGCCAAATGCGACCGCTCAATTGCGAGTTGTGACGTTTTTATGTCATTGTAAATGTTTTAAAAAGAATTTAGATATATATTTTTTTAATGGTTTTTCGAAATTTGATTTGAAAAACTTGAATAAAAACTTTACTTAATCTGAAACTACCAGACCTGTAATTGTTTGCTGGCAGAGCACACTCAAAGGTTACAGATTTTTTTCACTATATGCGGTTTTTTTTATGAAATACGAAAAATTCGAAGCACCGGAGGTGCGTTACGCGCTAGTCATATTTAAGCATAAGCATATGTTTTTGCTTTGTTTTTGGCTAGTGTTAGGTCCTATTTGAAAAAAAAACAGGTTTTATAAAAATATATCGGTGTTGTTGTTTTTTTGCGACGCTTTGGAAAATTTTTGCACTTATCGCAGAAAATTTAATTTTTTCTCAAAAACTACCCAGTCAATTTTCAAAGAAAATAGTGCCAATGGAAAACCGGAGGCTCTTCTATGTGTCTGCGTATTTTTCTAGTTTTTCATTTTACCCCACGTTTTGCGGCCTTCGAAAGTTTCAATAGGTGGATTTTTGGCCTATTTGTTAAATTTTTTCAGCTATTAAATACACAAATCTAAGATGAATTTTTCAATCAAAAGAACAAAATATAGGGATATCAACTTTTTAGGCGGATATTCCCTAAATTCGGTGGGAAAAAAGTTATGTCCTCAAACTAGCCCATTTTTTGACTTTTTGTTAATTTTTATAACTTTTTGAGCTTTCTCAAAAACTACCCTGCCAAATCGGAGATAAAGGTTTTAAACGAAACAAAAACAATCAGTTATGCGACTCTTTCCTGCGCAAGTAGCTATTCCCTGCATTTTGAAAAAAAATTATGGCCTTCGAAAATGTCCAATTTTCAATATTTTACCCGTTCATGGAAAATTATTCTTTTTTTTTCAAAAAATAACGTGCTGATTCTGAGGTTGATAGTTCATTCAAACTAACGTGCTGCTTAGATTCCAAAAAATCTACGTTCTGAAATTCCTGTTTGATTTATAAAACAGGTATTATGAAAACGTTTTTTTTTTTCCAGATGAGATCTGGTTTTTTTTTTTTTTTTTTTTTGAGACGCTTTTTCGAAAAATTCGCTTTCCCAAAAAACTACCCGTCAGATTCTCATAAAAGTGGTACCAATGGATTCAGTAGCGTTTCACCTACCTGCCTGCATGAAATTTAGGTCAATTTTTACCCTACCCCACCCCCTACGGTCTTAGAAAAGCTTCACAACTCGGTACTTTTTTCACTTTTTGCCCATTTTTTCGGAAATTTTCGATTTCCTCAAAAACTACCCGTCCAGATTTAGGATTAAGGGTTTAATCGATAGACCAGGTTGTAGGAAACTCCCATGCACAAGCGGCTGGTCCCTAATTTGCTTAGGGGAAGAGCTATAGACTTAGGAAAAGTCACTTTTTGATTTTTTTGCCTATTTTTTTCGGAAATTATCGATTTCCTCAAAAACTACCCATCCAGATTTAGAATTAAGGGTTTAATCGACAGACCAGGTTGTAGGAAACTCCCCCGCACAAGCGGCTGGTCTTTAACTTGCCTAGGGGAAGAGCTATAGACTTAGGAAAAGTCGCTTTTTTGGCCTTTTTTCAAATCTTTCCGATTTCCTCAAAAACTACCCGTCCAGATTTGGGATTAAGGGTTTAATCGATAGACCAGGTTGTAGGAACCCCCCCTACACAAACGGCTCGTCCCTAATTTGTCTAGGGGAAGAGCTATACACTTAGGAATAGTCAATTTTTCGGTTTTTAGGCCATTTTTTCAAACTTTTTCGATTTCTTCAAAAACTACCCATCCAGATTTGGGATTAAGGGTTTAATCGATAAACCAGGTTGTAGGAAACTCCCCTGCCCGAGCGGCTGGTCCTTAATTTGTCTCGGGGAAGAGCTGTACACTTAGGAAAAGTTTTTTTTAAAGTTTTTTGGCATTGGAACAAAGATTCAATATACTTATTGTGTGTATTTTTTAGACAATGGAATCCGCTGTGCTTACGTTTTCTCGCTTTTGCTTGGTGCTATTGGCTTTGTGTTGCGTTTTTTTGTATGGTTCGAAGAAGTTCAACGAGAAGTTGCACGAGTTACGCTAGTTCTCTTTAATCAGGTCGGTTTGTTCCAGAACGTTTTTATGATGTCAGTTATAGTCAACATATCAAAATAATCAATTTTAAAATAATCAAACATGTCTCTCCAGCTTTCAGCTGGGCCCCTAGTTCTGTACCGTTTTTTTTTTGAAATTTCATCTCCATTCTTGAAAACTACTTGCTTCATCTGATATCAACTGTTCAATCTCAAAAGGCTATTCCCTTGCTTAAGTAGAGAAAATTTTGTGATATAGGAAAAGTCAAATTTTTGAATTTTTGGTCGTTTTTTTTTGGAATCCTTTTTCCTTTTTTTCCCGAAAACTACCCAGTGAAATCTGAGATAAAGATAAAGAAATCGCTAGGGTTTTGCGTAAATTCCTTTTTTTGAAAATAACCCAGTTCCGTATCAGTGCAATATATGATGAAAATGTCAAAAACAAGTAGATCCAGCATTAGCCCGGCCACTAGTTTACTTCCAAGTAATTGCGGCGCAGATGCGAGGACGTGAGTATCCTAATCAACAGGTCGGAGGTTCAAATGCGGATCATTGAATTAGTTTTATGTTTTTGGTCGAATTTTTGCTGCGTTAGCAATGGCAATTTGATACAAGCTGTAGTTGCTTTATTGGTGGCTAGTGTTATTAAAATTACCAGCGGTCGTGGAGCAGATGTGAGAACGTGAGTCTCCTTGTCTCACTAAAAAATTTTTCTCAAGGTGTATGTTTTTATCTTTTTCTTATTTCCTTTTGTTTTGTCTTTTTCGAGCTCTTTTTGGCATTTTCCTTGCTTGTGTATGTGAAGCGCAGCTTCGCCTCTGTCAAAAATGAATGTTTTTCGAATCTTTCTGAAATTGTACTAGATTCATAAGCTGCTTTATTGCACAATGAACGTAAAGTTTTTCATTTTAGTTGCATCACTGGAGCCAGGTTTCCGAACACCCTCTCAAGAAAGACGAGTCATTTTTTGATTTCCCTGATGAAGCAGTGACATCTGAAGAGATCATATCTTATGAAGACGATCCGCATAATATTAACAGTTATAAACACCTTCTATCTTATGAATCAGATAGTGCTCTGGACGAAGTAGATGAAGAGGAATATGACGATCGCTTTGGAGGTATTTAAAACGAAAATTTGAAATATTTTTCAATTATTAAGAGTTGATGAACGTAGTGGAGACTTGTAGACTTTTATTTAGGTCGTGATGATTTTTTGCAGGAAAAGTCTTAAAATTTGTTCAGGCTTAAATTTTTATTTGTTGCCGTTTGAATTTTGATTTCTTTTAAGTTCATTTTCTAGTTTTCGTTTGTGGAATTTTATCTGATTTCCCAGCGAAATAAAAATTTTACTTAGTGATCCCGTTTTCTCTAATTGGGGTGATTTTATCCAAAACCTATCAGTCATTATTAAGAGTAATGAACGTAATGAAGATTTCGCTGATTTTTTGTTTTTTTTTCAGGAAAACTCTTAAAATGCTCTAATAACTACAGATCTGCATTCATACATATTGATGCATTTATGAATGCACTTAGGTTTATATGCACTTTTTGATTTTAATTGAAATTCATCTGCTGAAAGTGACGAAAATAGCACTCTCCAAACATGAACGTGGAAATGGCGCAATAAAACGTGAACTATTTCTAGTTTCGAAAGGGGAATCTTATTTTTTGATTTCCAGCGGAATAAAAACTTAAAATATTGATTCAGTTTTCTCTAGTTGGGTCCATCAAAAAAGCGCCAGTCTTAAATCTTTCCAGAAGTTCTAAGAGCTTAAAGGGCATCTATTTTTTCTTTGAAATTCGAAAGTTGAGATTTTGTTCTAGAAAGTTAGTGTTTTTTTTATATCTACTTGCGTTTATTACTCTTTTCCAATCTTCGATTGGCTATGTTTTGCTCTTGAAATTCAAATGGCTTTGAGGCCTTTTTTTTGAAATTCGAAAGTTGAGGTTGAAAAAACAAGTCAGTATTTTCTCAATGCGACAACTAGCAACAAAAGACAACTCGCAATTTGAATTAACAGACAGCTCGGAATATACTCAGAATAAAAGAAAGAAAGAAAGAAAGAAATTTATTTCTCTGATTCAAAAATATACATACCAGAATTTTATACATTTACAAAATCATTGATCAGAGGGAACACTAAATGGACCTTTTGGTCGCTGGGTAGTGCCCTAACGTTTCTAAGCACAATGTATAATTGTAGCCTAGACAACCGCAATAATTAACACACATGAAATTGCTTCATGATTATCATTTTAAGCTTTCATTTATTGTAACAATGACTCCAACACCGGTTATGGAGTCTTTTTAGGCAGTCATTTGGTACCATTCAAACCCCACAACTTGATCATTTCCCAGTCTAACCACCGCGAAAACCCATCAAACAGACATGTTTGTGCAACGGTTTTACATAACAGTTTATAAACAGTAGGGTTAGAATGTTCGTATTTCAAAATCACTCATTAATTTTAGCACAAATATAGCAAGATGGCTGATCATATTAGCATTTCACATTGCGATGTTCAAGTTGTCGCTAAACCAATTTCTTCATATCAACACATCCGAAAGGTTCGACTAGTAGAACCTAAAAAGGCACTGGCAGCCGGGCCCTCTCGGAGTAGCAATCGCATTATATCTTACTTCCCTGCTGAGAAAAACATCGGCAGGCTTAAATGAGGGGAAAATGTGGATAAAGAATTGCGGATGAAAACAATGATTCAATATTGGATTGTATTCAAAAAAAATTTTGGTCAAATCATAATTCCCCAGATTGTCTCTTTTTTAAAATTAGGATTGGTTATTGCCAGCTTCCCAACAGAGGCTAGGACTTATACGAAATTAAAAGTCGACTATCGGCGACGTTAAACCGAAATTCTTACATTATAAAATAATTTCCAAACTTTGCCAGTTGTCGCTTTCCTGAAATTTTGCTTTGCGAGTTGTCTTTTGTTACTGGTTGTGTTTTGTAGCGAGTTGTCATTGTTCTGCATTTTTTAAAAATGTTTTCTTGCGTGCATTAACTCGTTTTCAATTTTCTGTTGGCTATGTTTTATGCTAAACACGGTTGACCACAATCATTTATTTTCAGGCGAAGAAGCGTCTGATATTGAAAATGCAGTTCTGGAAAGTTCTTTATCTGTTGATCCACATTTTTATCACGCCTACTTTGCGAGGCCGAAGCCAAAGATCTGCGATGAAACAGAGCTACAAAAAGTACAAGATGAAAATATTTTCCAACGCCTGGGAGCAGGTTTTAAACCTCCGTTACGAATGCCTGATAGTTGCCACCCGCAGATTCCAAAAACACAAGTTTTACCAAACAGTAATCGATTAGCTGCAATAAATACACCAATTGAGGGATGCAGTTTGTCAGACAACGAAAGTGCGAATTGTGATAGATCTCTAGACTTGGAAGACGGAATCGAAAATATGATCAAAATGGCATCTAGTCAGACGACAGGTAGTCCTAAGAAGTCAAAAAACAGTAAGCCTAAGTTTGATGTGTACAAACATATCAGAGCAGACGGCGACAGTTTAATTGAGAGTAATCAGAATGTGCATCATTGTGGTATTTGTGGGAATTATGCAGCGTTGACGAAAGAGACATTAGAAAAGCATTGGAGAACTCATTACAAAGAGAGGCCACATAAGGTAAGCAAGCATCATTGACATTTTTCATACTGTTTGTTGGCTATGATTTTTTCTTCAAAATTTTTAACCTGATGGGACTCCTTCGTTTGTAATTTCAGTTTAGATGAATTGTTTTATTCTAAAGAAGATAAAAGCTTGTTGGTCAAATTTTTGGCTCGAATAAGTTTTGAAGTTCAAGTTAACATTTATTTTCAACATCAATAAGACATTTTGATGTGGAAGCTGAATTTACTTAAATGATTTTTCAGTGTCCTCGTTGCGAGAAGGCCTTCAGCTCGATCTACTTACTGAACAGTCATCTTAACACGCACGCAGACATCAAAGACTTCTTCTGTTCTCTGTGTAGTCTGAGTTTCGCATCTAAGTCTGAGCTGTCCCGACATAAGAGGTACAAACACACCGAAGACAAACCCTACAAGTGCACCGAATGTGACTATGCCTCAGTGGAGTCTACGAAGTTGAAGCGACACATGAGAACTCATACTGGTAAGTTAATAAATATGGGATGGGGGTTCGATGAAGTTGGGTTCATTCTCATGACAGGAAGACGTTCTTCGAAGTGACTGATTTTCGTATTATTTCTGTGGCTCCCCTTCCTCGAGGATTCGGCCCCCGGGCGTCCAGAGCTTTTGCGCAGAATAGCTGTTGTACTTACGCAGTTTTTTGTTATTTTTATGTATTGAGAATTGTTGCCTCGCCCTCGGACAAAGACCACTGAACGTAGTCGGCCTCGAACCGCGGACCTTTAGACGGAGGGACGGCTGGCGTAGCCACTTTTACTTCACTTCGCAGTGAAGTTACAGTTTTGATTGCATGCGTTGTTTTGTTGAAGGTGAGAGGCCGTTCAAGTGTCACTTGTGCTCCTACTGCTGCACAGACAACTTCAAGCTGAAGAGACATGTGAAGACGCACACGGGGGAGAAGCCGTTCTCCTGTCCCCTCTGCATGTTCAAGTTCAGCCAACACGCATCACTCAAGCAACACCTGCTAGGACATACGGGAAACAAACCAAAGTATATAAAAACAAGAATAAACTGCTGCTTTGCAAGCAAAGCAGAAGGGTTCGAATCTCTTGTTTTTGCAAAAAAGCTTGAATTGAATAGATGTGAAGAGTGACTCTTCACTCTGTTTTGTCTATAATTACAATTGCGAAAGCAAGTGTCTTGTAATTTGGAACTAGACTTTTCCCTTAAATAACTTTTACAAATTTTCAACTTGCTTTAGTATTGAATCTTAACAATTTCAAGTTTTCTTCGCTTTTGCGTAGAGGTAACGCCGTCATCTTTGCATCCTAAGGTCAAGGGTTGGAATCCCGGACGGACCTTGCTTTTTCAGTATGTGCTATTGAAAAATTGTCCGTTAAAAATTGATTCGTCGGATTTTCGGTTATCTGCTCACGTTTTGCCGGCTTAGTTGCCACATCAAGGATTTTTTTGTGCTTTAAGCAAGTATCATGGTATCATGTTGGTGTAGTTTCAGAGGGGACTCGTAACTTGAATTTTTTTCCCCAAAATCATTTTTTTCGGCTCAGCTGGCGTCTGCTTTAATTCCGCTTCGTAAGTTTTTTCCGTTGCTATTTTTATATTCGAAAGTTGCGAGTCCTGTTTGCATAGATTTCACAGTTGATAAAAACAAGTGTTATGAAAATTAATGGAATTAGATGTTTTCCTATATTTCAAAAATTTCACTTAAATTTATTTTAGTAGAGAAACAACTAAGGTTTTGGGCAAAGTCCCGTTTTTGAAATTACGCATTTCGTCCCGCATGGGTATAAAAACTTCAAAAGATATCAAACACGTTCCTCCAGCTTTAGTTAGGCCCCTAGTTTTCTTTTATCGAGAATACGAAAATTTCGGATCACCTAGTTTTTTCAACATTTTTCATTTTTGAATTCTTGTGTTTTTTTTTATTTGATCGTCTCATCGCAAGTGATGCGAAGCTCCGCTTCGCCTGTTGAAAAAATGAGAAGCCAGTTTTTCGCCACGAAGTTATTTTGGGTTTTTAAATGCTGATAAAATTATTTAAAGCTTTAATACTATAAAACCGCCTTGTTTTAGTTTTTTTAAGTAGTGTAAATGTTAACTCGATTATCCATTGTTCGCTGTAGATTAAAACTGTTCTTTTGCTGGCTGATTATTTCATTCAAGCTCAAATCACTGAATAATCAATTTTATGTTTTTACTCCCGAAACCGTCTGAAAAAGTTTTCTTGGTTCTGGTTTTGAAATAATGTTAATAATAATAAGTCACGCTCAAATTTGACTTTTCACCGTTCACCTTGATTTTTTCAATTCAAAATCATTTGCATAAAGTTTTTCTCTCCAGTTGCGAAAGCGGAAATGACGCGAATAAATGTGACTGACTTTTAGTTTCGAAATTGGATGTTAATTTTTAGATTTCTCATCGGAAAAAAGGTACTTACAGACTTCTTTTTCTCTAATTGACTTAGTGTATGAACAAGGTGTCAATGATAAAAGGTTCTAAAACTTTGATGACACAAGCAATGCTTGTGTCATAGTATGAACTATCTTTTTCTTCCAACCTAAATCGCAATTATTGTTGCGATAAAATGAGTTCATTTTGAAACTGTTCATTTTGATCAATAACAGCTATTAAGTACAGCTAATGCTAAGAATAATAACACATACTATTATTGTTCCGACTGTCATAACGAAAGAAGCGGACTATTTGTGCTCGGGGTGGTTTTTTCTTCAGACAAATTTCGACTTTTTAACTAGCCATTTTTGACGTTTTTTTTGTGTCTTGCAAAAAGTAATGTTGTCCTGAGCTTAATTTTGGAAAGATATTTCAGCTTTGACTATTTTTCTTGAAGTTATGGGGGTTCAAAGATTGCCATTTTGACCAATCTTTGAACCCCCAATCAATTCATTTTTATTTCATGGCATTTATTTTTTTCATGTTATTACTGCTCCATAGACTGCTGTATAAATTGAGGCATGTTAGTTGGTTAATTTCTTTTTTTTTAAAATCAAATTGACTGGTACTGATAATGCATCATAATTGGCGTGCGTTACTTAAGAAATTTTGTAGGCTCAAAGTTCATTGGTAAGCAAGCATCATTGACATTTTTCATACTGTTTGTTGGCTATGATTTTTTCTTCAAAATTTTTAACCTGATGGGACTCCTTCGTTTGTAATTTCAGTTTAGATGAATTGTTTTATTCTAAAGAAGATAAAAGCTTGTTGGTCAAATTTTTGGCTCGAATAAGTTTTGAAGTTCAAGTTAACATTTATTTTCAACATCAATAAGACATTTTGATGTGGAAGCTGAATTTACTTAAATGATTTTTCAGTGTCCTCGTTGCGAGAAGGCCTTCAGCTCGATCTACTTACTGAACAGTCATCTTAACACGCACGCAGACATCAAAGACTTCTTCTGTTCTCTGTGTAGTCTGAGTTTCGCATCTAAGTCTGAGCTGTCCCGACATAAGAGGTACAAACACACCGAAGACAAACCCTACAAGTGCACCGAATGTGACTATGCCTCAGTGGAGTCTACGAAGTTGAAGCGACACATGAGAACTCATACTGGTAAGTTAATAAATATGGGATGGGGGTTCGATGAAGTTGGGTTCATTCTCATGACAGGAAGACGTTCTTCGAAGTGACTGATTTTCGTATTATTTCTGTGGCTCCCCTTCCTCGAGGATTCGGCCCCCGGGCGTCCAGAGCTTTTGCGCAGAATAGCTGTTGTACTTACGCAGTTTTTTGTTATTTTTATGTATTGAGAATTGTTGCCTCGCCCTCGGACAAAGACCACTGAACGTAGTCGGCCTCGAACCGCGGACCTTTAGACGGAGGGACGGCTGGCGTAGCCACTTTTACTTCACTTCGCAGTGAAGTTACAGTTTTGATTGCATGCGTTGTTTTGTTGAAGGTGAGAGGCCGTTCAAGTGTCACTTGTGCTCCTACTGCTGCACAGACAACTTCAAGCTGAAGAGACATGTGAAGACGCACACGGGGGAGAAGCCGTTCTCCTGTCCCCTCTGCATGTTCAAGTTCAGCCAACACGCATCACTCAAGCAACACCTGCTAGGACATACGGGAAACAAACCAAAGTATATAAAAACAAGAATAGACTGCTGCTTTGCAAGCAAAGCAGAAGGGTTCGAATCTCTTGTTTTTGCAAAAAAGCTTGAATTGAATAGATGTGAAGAGTGACTCTTCACTCTGTTTTGTCTATAATTACAATTGCGAAAGCAAGTGTCTTGTAATTTGGAACTAGACTTTTCCCTTAAATAACTTTTACAAATTTTCAACTTGCTTTAGTATTGAATCTTAACAATTTCAAGTTTTCTTCGCTTTTGCGTAGAGGTAACGCCGTCATCTTTGCATCCTAAGGTCAAGGGTTGGAATCCCGGACGGACCTTGCTTTTTCAGTATGTGCTATTGAAAAATTGTCCGTTAAAAATTGATTCGTCGGATTTTCGGTTATCTGCTCACGTTTTGCCGGCTTAGTTGCCACATCAAGGATTTTTTTGTGCTTTAAGCAAGTATCATGGTATCATGTTGGTGTAGTTTCAGAGGGGACTCGTAACTTGAATTTTTTTCCCCAAAATCATTTTTTTCGGCTCAGCTGGCGTCTGCTTTAATTCCGCTTCGTAAGTTTTTTCCGTTGCTATTTTTATATTCGAAAGTTGCGAGTCCTGTTTGCATAGATTTCACAGTTGATAAAAACAAGTGTTATGAAAATTAATGGAATTAGATGTTTTCCTATATTTCAAAAATTTCACTTAAATTTATTTTAGTAGAGAAACAACTAAGGTTTTGGGCAAAGTCCCGTTTTTGAAATTACGCATTTCGTCCCGCATGGGTATAAAAACTTCAAAAGATATCAAACACGTTCCTCCAGCTTTAGTTAGGCCCCTAGTTTTCTTTTATCGAGAATACGAAAATTTCGGATCACCTAGTTTTTTCAACATTTTTCATTTTTGAATTCTTGTGTTTTTTTTTATTTGATCGTCTCATCGCAAGTGATGCGAAGCTCCGCTTCGCCTGTTGAAAAAATGAGAAGCCAGTTTTTCGCCACGAAGTTATTTTGGGTTTTTAAATGCTGATAAAATTATTTAAAGCTTTAATACTATAAAACCGCCTTGTTTTAGTGTTTTTAAGTAGTGTAAATGTTAACTCGATTATCCATTGTTCGCTGTAGATTAAAACTGTTCTTTTGCTGGCTGATTATTTCATTCAAGCTCAAATCACTGAATAATCAATTTTATGTTTTTACTCCCGAAACCGTCTGAAAAAGTTTTCTTGGTTCTGGTTTTGAAATAATGTTAATAATAATAAGTCACGCTCAAATTTGACTTTTCACCGTTCACCTTGATTTTTTCAATTCAAAATCATTTGCATAAAGTTTTTCTCTCCAGTTGCGAAAGCGGAAATGACGCGAATAAATGTGACTGACTTTTAGTTTCGAAATTGGATGTTAATTTTTAGATTTCTCATCGGAAAAAAGGTACTTACAGACTTCTTTTTCTCTAATTGACTTAGTGTATGAACAAGGTGTCAATGATAAAAGGTTCTAAAACTTTGATGACACAAGCAATGCTTGTGTCATAGTATGAACTATCTTTTTCTTCCAACCTAAATCGCAATTATTGTTGCGATAAAATGAGTTCATTTTGAAACTGTTCATTTTGATCAATAACAGCTATTAAGTACAGCTAATGCTAAGAATAATAACACATACTATTATTGTTCCGACTGTCATAACGAAAGAAGCGGACTATTTGTGCTCGGGGTGGTTTTTTCTTCAGACAAATTTCGACTTTTTAACTAGCCATTTTTGACGTTTTTTTTGTGTCTTGCAAAAAGTAATGTTGTCCTGAGCTTAATTTTGGAAAGATATTTCAGCTTTGACTATTTTTCTTGAAGTTATGGGGGTTCAAAGATTGCCATTTTGACCAATCTTTGAACCCCCAATCAATTCATTTTTATTTCATGACATTTATTTTTTTCATGTTATTACTGCTCCATAGACTGCTGTATAAATTGAGGCATGTTAGTTGGTTAATTTCTTTTTTTTTAAAATCAAATTGACTGGTACTGATAATGCATCATAATTGGCGTGCGTTACTTAAGAAATTTTGTAGGCTCAAAGTTTTCTTCATTCAGTTTTTCCCATTAGCGTTATCGGTCATATTTTTGCTTGTGTATGCGAAGTGCAACTTCGACTCTGTATTATAATGTATTTTTCGAAAGTAGAAAAGAATAAACAAAATATTCAATTTTTTTGCTTCGCTGAGTTCATTGACATTTTCCCATTTTTTTGGCAGTGTCAATTGTTCGACGTAATTTTTTGCGGAAACCTTTTTATTCCTCCGGTTGGAAAACACTTGAAAAATCCAACAATCCTGACGTTTAGTTTTTTAGGTTAATAACAGTTATCTTTTACTTACGTAACCATTGCGACTCAGAGCAATACGGAAAAAATTCCATTCGTTAATTGTTGCGACCACTTCAGGAAGTGGGAAGAAACTATGGTTTAGGGTCTGTTTTTTAGTGGATTTTGACTACCTCAATGAAAAATCTATGGGGTTAAAGGTGGTATCATATTGAAGCCCCTTCAGTCGTGATTTGGATTCCACAAAATTTAAAAAAGGATTTGGTATAAATATTCTCGTGGTCGAAACATTCTGCTCCTTGTACAGCAACCGACGATCCTTGCTGATTTGAAGGGTAGGAACTATTCCGGTTGTTTTTTCTCGTACCCATTTTGACTACCTAGAGGAAAGATCATTAGGTGTCAAGTCTGGAATTATTTAACTACATCTCGTTCTATACGTACCAACTTATTGTGAAATTAAATCGGATAAATGTTAAGAACTCTTTCGGCAAAACTGCAATCATCAGTGATCTAGAAAAAAACAAATTATCTTAAACAAAATCAAGAAGACTGCAGAATGGAAAACAAGAAAAAAATTGAAAACCAAAATAGCTTATTATGGATTTAATTAGGTATGAAATCGAGGTGGCATGAAAACTACTACTAACAATTGAAAAATGACTTCAAAGGCGTACTGTGAGGGTGCTACCGGCACTCCTCTTGGTGTGTTTATTATTATTATTATTTAGTTAATCAGCCAGAGTCCTAACCCGAAGGTTAATTATTTGAGGATAGTTAAGATACGGCTATTTTACAGAGCAAACATGCGATTTGAACCCGCAATCAGATGATTGCTGGTCATCATTACCACCGATGCGCCACAACGCCATTTATTTTAATTGACCTTTAATAACAACGAACTCCGTTCGTTTGGAAAATCTTCACTTCAATCGCGATAATCGGATCATTTTGTGCTAAGCAAACTGCGATCCTTGTTTTAAATGAGTATATATTTTTCAAATTGATATTTTGGAAAAAAATAGTAACGTTTTTGTACCTGATTTTTCGGTACGAAGTAGAAAATGCATATGTGCCTAACCGTTTTATGAGTTAATATTTGATAGGGTACTTTACTTGATAACATGAGGGGAGAAAGATAGTTTACAAGAGCCCTGTGATTATTTATTGTTTTTTTTTCTTCAAAATCTGTTTAGGTACCAATGTGAGTACTGCAGTGTGACGTGTTCTCGCAACAGTGACTTGAAACAGCACGTGATGAAGCTACACACGAGTAACAAGCCCCAGAGATGCAGACTGTGTGGGGCCTCATTCCCCGACAGACACAATCTGAAGCAGCACATGAGGAGACACAGGGGGGAGAAGTTGTTGCAGTGCGAAGAGTGTCACTACAAGACTAACAGCCACAGACATCTCCAGGAACACAACAGGATACACACTGGTACCTTTTCAACCTTTTTTCTTCCTTCTCACCTTCCTCACCTTCGAGTTTTTACTGGCATAATTATTGCTCACAATGTACGATGGTAATAAGGCTAATTACCCGTGCGATAGCAAGGGTATTGAAATCGGGTACTAGATTTTTTTTCGTAAACAATTTGACCACAGATTTCAGCATGCATGCAGTACACGACATGCATGCAGTATGAGCGTCGTATATTTGCGCTCATTGGTCTTTTACTCTCACTGTGCATCCTTTTTAGTGATTTTCCAATAAATTCGCAGTTCGAATTTTTTTAATGATAATTCTTTGGTATTTTTTTTGAATTTTCGACTTCGTTGCTTTCGGTTTACTTTTTGTCGGCTTAGTTTCCGCTTTTTAACCATCCAACTAAATCGTTTATTTGAATTTCAGTTTTTTAATACATTATAGTTGCTTTTAGTGTTCTGATTTACCTCTGCTGTTTGTTTGTAATTATTTTAACCTTGTCATTGTGTATATTTCTTTTTTTTTGCTTTGTTTTTGATTAAAAGCTTTATTCTGCCCAAAGGGCTTAGTGACCTAATTTCGAGTCGTTTCAATGGAAACATATTTTTGCACACCTCTGAATTGCACAAAATGCTTAACATCTTAATAGACATATAAGTCAAATTTTTCAAGACAACAACTTTCTATCGCCTTTTTTTCCTTTTGTTTCGGCTTGATAGGTTTCGGCCTATTTTAAATCGGCTTATCGGCATCATATTGCGACGAGCGAAAAAATGGTGTGTGTGCGTGTCTGTGTTTGGAGGACGAGGGGGGCTTATTAACTTCTTATTAGTCTTAAATTTTCATTTTTTTATGTTTCTTTTTTTTGGGGCTTAATAGGTTTCGGACTTATATTACATCGGCTTACTTGTCTCATAGTGTTTCATTTGACGAGCAGATAATGTTTGAGTGTTTTGAGGGCTAGGGTGATTTTTCATAAGTCTTAAATCTTTTTGATTTTTTTTCCGTCTCAAAGGTATCTGCCAAGGTAATTTATGTTCCGATGCTAATTTCATATTCCATTGTCTCGGTATGTTTTGTTTCAAAACTAGACTTATTCATTATGATAGATCTAGTCTTTTCGAGATTTTTTTTTTTTCGATTTTATTTTGTTGCATAGCAAGTGGTGCGAAGCTCAGCTTCGCCTCTGTGCTTATAATTGTTTGTTCTTGATAAAATGACGCGTTAGACTATGCTTATGGTACGCTTGTAAGTTTACGTTTTAAAATCACGCGGTAGATCATGCTTATGGTATGGTAGGCGGGAAAAGGAAAATCAGTCGTTTGTTTTTTTTCTTTCTGTTTTTGGATTGTTTACTTCAATTGTTGTGGTTGCAACATTCTGTGCTCTTTGCACAGCAACGGGCTATCATTGTTAGTTTTTGTGTTTTCTGAATACGTTCTAAAGTGAAACGTCAACTTTTTGCAGCAATGATTTTTTTGGAAATATTATGAGTTAAATGTATTTAGCCAGCGTCGATTTTGATACTGTATATACTCGTTTCCGTTTATGGGCTTGGATTTTAAGCAAGAAAAAACTGGACGATTTAAGACAATGACGGTCAGGGCTTAATAATTAATGAAACAGGTTCAGGTTGGCAGAAAGATGATAGTTTTTCACAATCACAAGCGGATTTCTGCACCCGCCTGTCTAGAGAGCGCAAAAGTGTTCAAAATATAAACACTGGTTTGAAAAATCGTGTTGGAAACTACTGTTATTCAGGTGAGAAGCCATTCATCTGTTCTCATTGCGGTCAGCAGTTCCGACTTAAGCAGGGCCTACGTGCCCATTCGAACCGAGTTCACCCCGAGTTGAAATGGACACGACTCTCAGAAGAAGCGGACAAAGTTGAAACCAATTATCAGACGGGAGAAAATGTGGCAGTGTTTGTGTGCTCGCTATGTCAACAACAAACAGGTACTAAAAATACAATGCGTCAGCATCTCAGAACTGTACATGAAATGACGGTGGAAGAAATTGAAATCGCGTTGCCGACTTGTGTACAGGTCCAGGAAGGCCAAAACGACCAAATGTCACAAGATCATTTGTCAACGAATGGAAATGAGAAGAACTCTGATTCAACTATAATGGTCACGTGTACACCTGATCGAGTCTCCGCTTCGGTAGTAAGAAGTTATGAAAACAACGCAGAAACTATCCCAGTATCGAGTGATTCGTATATAGAAGCAATTTTTATTCTCTCAAGAGACGAGAGTGAAAGACTCAGTGTAATGGTAGAGCCAGAAATTCTGTGCAATCAAACGCTTCTTCAGTCTTTGCAGTCGGCACTGGAACAAAATGTCATAATGAAAGAAATTGCGTCTTTAAATTACAAAAGATTGCATTCTGCAGATGATGATTTGAAATTACCAAAAGAATTGACAGAAAATGAGGAGCAGTTTGCGGTAACAGGACAAGAAACACTTAATACCACTGAAAATGGAAATAATAGCGAAAACTTAACAGTAGAAAAAGTGCCTGAATTTTCAACTATAGATACCTCGGTGCTTCAATAATTAAATTAATTTGTAAGTTAAATTTTTGTTCTATCTTGGAGTTTCTTTTAACAACTCTACTCTGGTTCTATTATCCTTGCTCTTAATAAAAAATTGTGCAATTTAGACAGTATAAGTTAGTATTTAATCGATTATACACGACTCAATTCAATATTTAAATTTAGTGTTTTGAACAGTCGTTTGTGTTAAGTGTATAAGAATGAAGTGATGGCCGCTGATTTAGTAAGTGATGATTTTTTATTCGAAATGTAAAAGAACGAAGGTAAGGTCACTTTGCCTGAAATCACCTATTGACCCAGTTTTCTCTAAATGGGATAGCTTCAAGAAAAAATAGCTGTCCATAAACAGTATTTGAAGAGCTTAAACATGGTAGATTTTTCAAAAATATTCATTCATTTTTTTCGGTTCTCTAAAGTTCGTATATTGAATCGGTTTTCTATAAATGGAATAACTCTAAATGGAATTGACAGCTTGTCGGTTCAAAAATCTGCTAAATTTTTTATTGTCATGTTGCTTTCATTCTATCATTTGTTTTGCAAGTGATGCTCAGCTCAGCTTTGCCTCTGTGTATAAATTTATTTAAAATCATTGATTGACCGTTTTTTTTAAACCATAAAGTTGCCGACGCTGATAACAGATAGAAATTATCACTCTCCCTAAACACTTAAAGTGAAATCTCATTTACATGAAAAACAACTCTCTTCTCCCTCCTATCCTGATATTACGAAAACACTTTCGAAAGCAACTGTCTTGTAAGATGGAACAGACTTTTTCCATTAAACTTTTTGTCTTTACACTTGCGATCAGCTTAGTGTGTTATTACGAACCTTCGTTTTTTTCTAACCTATCTCGCAAATAAAAGTGTTAATTAAAAGTGTTCACCTATTTGGAAACCTCACTGTAGCATTGGAGTTGCAAAGCATCTGTTCTCTGATTTATTTAAGACTAGTCTTTGGTACCTATTAAGTTTCCTTGGCTGAGTGGTTAGTAAGTGAGTCTCTTTATCTTTAGGTCGCAGGTTCGAATCTCAGAGGTTGACAATTTTTTTGACTAATTCGAGGCTTATTTCTAATTTTTGTTTTGCTTTTTATAGAGCTGTCGTGTTCTCGCAAAGGTTTGCGAACCGAAGCTTCACTTCTGTGTGGAAATCTGCATCTAAAACTAAAATTTGCTGACACGTAACAGTGCTGACTTGCCTAACTTCTCAAATGGAACAACTTCTTTCATTTGCGTGCATATAAAGCTTTTCAATGAACTTGTTGCCAAAAATGTCACCTGATTTTTCGTAGGCCGTTTTTGTATTTTGAATTCTATAGTATCTACTAAAATGGCGTAAAAACAGTTTTTCAACTAAGGATTAGAACACTATCTTATATTAGTTTGAAAAACAGATGGAATATATAAGCACCGTGCAGTTTTTCTTCAGAAAAATTTTGAATTTTTAGCCTTTTTATCGGAATTTTTGATAAATGAGAGAGATTAATGTTTTGAGGTTTCAATTTTTTGAGTTCAGGTGATAACACGAACGAAGGGTAGTGTATTAGTACGAAGATTTTTTTTTATCTCAGTCGCAAATAAAAGTGCTCATTTGGTGGCACTTTTGGTTTATTTCAATTTACTCAGATTTATGCCTATTAAGCCTAAACATTTTAATATCATATGTTGATGCTTTATTTTTAGCTAGTGTTAGAGCCTGTTTGAAAAAACAGGTATAATGAAAATATATGGGATTTGTTGTTCTTTGTTGTTTTCTCATCTCTCTTCTCCTTTCTATCCTGATATTACAAAACACTTTCGAGAGCAAGTGTCTTATAAGATGAAACAGACCTTTTCAACAAGGCTCTTTGTCTTTACACTTGCGATCAGCTTAGTGTGGTATTACGAACCTTCTTTCTTTTCTAACCTAACTCGCAATTAAAAGTGTTCATTAAAAGTGTTCATTTATTTGTAAATTTCACTGTTGAATTGAAAATTGTATAGCATCTGTTCTCTGCTTTGTTTGTGGGTACTGCTTAATACTTACTACGTTTCCGTGTCTGAAAGGCTAGAGTGTGAGACTCGTAATCTCTTGGTCGCAGGTTCGAATCTCAGAGGTAGCTGAATTTTTGCTAATTCGAGGCTTATTTCTAATTTTCTTACTGCACTATGTAGAGCTGCTTATTTCGTGTTTTCGCTGGTGTTTAGAATTGCGGTTGCCGTTTATGCAGTTGAAGTTGTTCGTGTTTCTGTGTGGCACATGTATCATTCTGTTGTGAATCCTTAGTCCACCACCGTTTTCGCCTTCTTCTTGCAATATATACAAGTAACTTAGTTTTTCTGTATAACGATATTGTTTCTGTTTTTGGGGGCTTCCGCTAGATTGTGTTTTTGTTGCCCCTGCTTTGTTTCCATTTATCAAATATTGCTTCAATTTATTCAGTTGTTCTCCCCACAGTTTTCTGTCAGGCGATCCAGGTCCGAAGAGTCTAATGCCGCTTCTTGAGAAGCCTCTGCGAGTGTTTTCTGTGTTGTTGTTCGTCTTTATCCCTCAGCTTTTGTCTCCGTGGCCGGTAGTCATCCGAGAGTTGCTAGTTTTGCCGGTACTTTTTGTTAGCATCCGGGAAGTTGTCAACTGCATCCGTGCATTCAGGGTTTCATTCCTTTTCCGGAATCCCTGTGTGGCCTTTGACGTACTAGGAGTCCTGTGCACTGCCCACTTACCCTGTCTGGAAGGCGTCACACTTGGCAAGCAATTCCGATTTTTTTATCATGTTTCCTTTATACTTATTTTCTCAATACTCAAAAGTAGTTTCTCCGTAAACACTTTTTTCACAAACTAGTTTCTAAAGTGAGTTTGAATTATCGCAAGCACTTTTTCTGCCATAAATTGCGTCCGAAATTCAACCGAAACCAGCAGTTTTTCAATTCTAAAATGAGTTTGGATTTTCATAGTGTCTACTAAAATGGTGTAATTGCAGTTTTTCAGCTAATGATTAGACACTACCTTATATTAGCTTGAAAAACAGATGGAATATATTTTGAATTTTAGCATTTTTATCGGAGTTTTTGATAATTAAGAGAGCTTTGATGTCTTGAGCTGTCATTTTTTTTGAATTCCGTTGATTACTCAAGCAAAGCTTAGCGTATCAGTACAGAGATTTTTTTCTAATCTAAGTCGCAAACAAAAGTGCTCATTTGGTGGCACTTTTGGTTTATTTCAATTTAATCATATTTAAGCCTATTTAAGCATAAGCAATTTAATACAATATGTTGTTGTTTATTTTTGACTAGTTTTAGATCCTGTTTGAAAAACAGGTTAAATGAAAATGTTCGGGATTTGTTGTTTTTTTGTTGTTTTTTTTTCGACGCTTTGGAAAATAATTGCACTTCTCGCTGCAGTTTGAATGTTTCTCAAAAATTACTGTACTGTTTTTCAAAAAATTTTACAACTAGACAAACCGGCTGCTCTCTTATGCAGATTTTGCTTTTCTTTTTTCATGTTACAAAAGTTCTACGGCCTCAATTCCATTTTGAATTTTTTCTCAAATATTAAATGCATAAATCTGAAATAAAGGTTTCAATCAGAAGAACAACTCATGGGGTTTCGCTCTTCTTAAGCGATGATTCCCTAAGTTTGATAGAAAAAAGTTCTGGCATCAAACAAGCCTATTTCTTGACCTTTTGGTTAATTTTCAAAACTTTTCTCAAAAGGTACCCTGCCAAATCGGAGATTAAGGGTTTAACCGAACGCAAAAAACGTGTTGTGTTAATCTTCTATGCGCAAGTGGCTATGCCCTGCGTTTTGAAAGAAAATTATGGCTTTAGAAAATGTCCATTTTTTGAAATTTTCATAGTTTTTTATTTTAGAATTTTCATCACTATTCTCGAAAACTACTAGCTAAACCTGATATTAAGAGTTTAATCTGTAAAATAGGGCGTGAAAATTTTCCCTGCATAAAAGGTGATTCCCATGTTTTAGTAGAGAGAAGTTTCTGGATGTAGAAAAACTCAAGCTTTTGATTTTTTGATCGTTTTTCGAATCTTTTTCAATTTTTTCCAAAACTACCCAGCCAAATCTGAGATAAAGAATTCAATTGAAAGAACGAATAGTATTTTCCTCTTTCAAAAAGGCAGCCAATTGCCTTCTTAAGCTGAGAAATTAATAGGGTTTTGTGTAAAGTCCATTTTTTTTGAAAATTACGCATTTCTTTATCAGTACAATATATGATTGAAACTTTTAAAACAGATACATCGGGCATTAGCTGGGTCACTATTTTACCTCCAAGTGACCGTAGTGCAGATGCGAGGACGTGAGTGACCCTCCTAATTATCAGGTCGGAGATTCAAATTCGGAACGTTGAAATAGTTTTATTGTTTTTTGCTCGATTTTTTGCTGCTTTATTTTTAATTTCTTCCTTTTTCCTTATTTCACTTTGTTTTGCCAGCTTAGTTTTTTTTTGCATTTTCATAGCGTGTGTTTGCGAAGCGCAGCTTCGCCTCTGTGTTTAAATGTTGTGATCATTCTCGTAGTAAACATTTTTTCGATATTTTTTTCCCCATTTTTTGAACTTAAATCACGGCGGTTGAATCTTTTTTTTTGTGCTACCGACCCGCTTGATCGTTCTTTTTCTTTTTTTCATCACTTTTCATTTTTGAATCACAAGCTTTTTTCTAACGGACGAAAAAGTAGCTCATATTGAAGCTTTATTAGTTTAGTCTATTTGGCATTGTTGTTTTTAGTGGACCTCTGCGTCTGATCTCCATCATCGCCCTGGTGCTCGCCGTCTTGCTCGTCCTCGTTTTTATCCGACTTCTTCTTTTTCTTCTTCTTATCTTTGTTTTCGTCCGAGATCACTTCTGCGAACTGATCTAGTCCTTCTTTCGCTTTCGCCTCGTCAAATTTGGCCTAAAAAGTTATAGGTTTTACATAAAAAGTAGTTTTCTGAAAAGTTCAGAAAAATTAGCCTTAATTCCGAAACATAAGCAGTATGAATTTTCTCAATCATATAAATTGATAATTTTTCTCAAATTTTATGTCCGATCAAAATTTCAATTTCAAAATAATTTTTTCATAATATTTCAATTGTTTTTTTCAGGATATTGTCTTTATCAATTAACATCTGTAGTTTATAAGTCACATTCTAAAAATCAATAAAT